AAAGATTTTTTTTTAAATCTTTATTAAATTTACACAGATTTTGAAATATACGTCCGAGCTTCCCGAATTTCTCAGCGATACTGCTCAACAGCGTACACAATGTCCAAGTACAAAGCACGCAGTCACACGTTCGTTTACATCAGGTCACACGATTCTTAGAATCCGTGTTTCCAATAACTTCACGAAAACTGACAGAAGAAATTGAACTGTATATTTACATAGTTTGTAGACTGCTATACAACATTGTAGAGTAGTTCGAGAAACGGTAGCCGAGTTCTCGAAATTTTCGGGAATCTTGACTTTTTCGGGAAACCCGATTCCTTCGGGAATCCGACCTCTTCCCGACTCGTCCCGACCATCGAGTTCCCGATATTTTCAAACGCAAATAGCGGCAACTACTTTTTCCGTCCGCATTATCAGGCGGAGAATGGAAAATCGTAACTGGCTAGTGTGAAACAGCGGCAATTTAAAAAATTTAAAAGATGCTGAACGCTTGCTGAGCGAAATCGTTTGTGCTTAAAGTCAATTCGGGAATTACAGATATCGCGATACGAGGTAATTTAACCAAGGGGCACGATCTCCTTCGAAAAGTTTGGTTTGAAAAGATTTGCGCTCTGAGGGAGATTCTGTCGCATCTGTGCGGCAAATTGCGGCATTTTTGTTATTAATTTTTCAAGCTTCACCGCGTTCCAATTTAGTTTCCAGCTACTCTCTGCCGCATGTACGTAGATTTTATTCGGTCAGTGTCCGGAAAGTGTTTCCTGGTGCTTTCAATTGTTCGTAATGCTCGCTAAACCAAACGAGATTCGACCAATTAACGTCATTGAAATCGCTTAACGTTACATTTACATTACCGCAACATATTTTTCAAATAATTTACCGCTACTTAAGCTAATTTGCTTCCCTTTTCTTTTTTCAATTTTAAAAAGGCAATATCCATTCCTGCCACGATTCTCTGCACACTATAATTTCTTCATTTTCATTTTCATACTTGTTACTCGAAGCGGAATCAGATCTTAATTAAATCCAGCCACGGTTATCGCTGCTACGAATGTACCTGCTACTGCTTGTACTTAAAAACCATAAAAGGGAATTTTTGTTTTTGTCCTCGGTGGCTCGAACTTGGATATTTTCGCAACACGTCTGTTTCTGGCCGAACGTAATTTGTAAACGCCGCGAGTTCTCAATCTATCGAATGTAGCTCTTCACATTGACATTTTTACCATTCGTTAGTCGCAAACCGGCATACTTGATTCCATTGCTCCCATTACCGATGCGCTCGCGAGTCAGCTTCGGAAAGAATCAACGGTTCTAGACCACCGCTTTGTGGTTAACAGCTTCCGAGTGGCGTGCTTAGCACTTGCCGATACTCCTTAACGCTACGCTGCTCAAACTACCTTTTGTTCCTTTCGCCCCTGTCGATCTTTCTACTTCGTTCCACGATTCGTACGAGTGCAGCTACGTGAGCCGGACGACCTTCCTCGACAACAACAGCGACGATGCTCGATGGTTACGTGGTTACGTGGGAAATCGAGCATCAATCAACTGAAAGACGATGGTCTGTCGCGTACGGGAAATTCCACTGCCAGAGCCAATTTCATCGTGAAATTCCTAGTATCGGAATATCTTCGTGTCCTTCTCCGATTTATTTTTTTCTCTTCGTCTGTTTCTTTTTTCTTCATTTCAGAGGGGGCTTTTCCCTCGCATCGTTAACTTAAAAGTCATTTTTGAAAAACGTTTCTTCAATACTTCGACGTTGAAAGCAGATTATTTGGAATTCATTGTACCTATATTTCAAAGACACTGCCGTAATTTTCTCTCTTATTGTTGGTTGGATTACCTCAGAAAGTCGTACTTGGCTAGACTCGTTTCTTTCGTTTCTTTCGATTAATCAAGTGAATGTGCATTTGTCGCTGGTTTTCAAAGTGCGTTATTTTTTTTCTTTTCTTTTCAAGGATTTTTTTTTTCGAGGATTAGTCGCAGGACGCAAAAGAACAGAGAAGAATGACAAGACTTTCTGACTGAGAGTCTAATGTGATGCACTCCTGAGTACACCTGAACACACGAACAAAGAATCTTCTCGAATTTTATTGTTCGATAAAATTTCTTCCAATTTTTTCCGCCGATGAAGTGTGAACGGTGATGGTTTCGTCTTGTTTTAACGCGCTGCTTCGGCGCTCATTGTTCGCTGATGTTTGAACGTTGCATCGATACGTGTTTTACGTAGATTTTCAGGCTTGTACGAAACATCGTACGCCAATGTATTTTTGAACGTGGCTTTTAAACATCTGCGAAACAATGGCTCAAACACCATTGATCGTTCTTATCGATCGCTGAAGCCTTACAGTTAAATCACAGGTAAGCATACAGTGAGGATTACGACAAATCAAAGTATTTATCGCCGATGAATTTATCGAACGCGTGTAAGATACGACACGGGTGTAAATCATTAAATGGATTGCTTCGTTGCTTTTCCCTATTTATTCGCCTTATTTATTTC